AATGGAATTAAAGTACCTCCTTTAGGTGCAAGAATCATACCATTAGAAAGACAAATGGAGATCAGCAAAGAACTATATGAAAAACACAATTATTATCAATATTATGATAATAGATCAGATTAATTAATCCAACTTATTAATAGTTTAATAATATGATATTGTTCAAAAAGAACAATTGCCAATATCTAAAGATTCAACTTTAGAATGGATTGGATTTTCAGATAAAGGGGTAATTAATAATTTATTCATCAATTATTTATGATTCTACAGTTTTAATAATAGTATCATCGTTTTTTATATAGTTACCAGCAATGTATGATTCTGAAGGAGTGTTATCTATTTTACATCGTCACAGACAATATCACCAAGCAAGATGGATACCTGTTTTGTATACTCGTAATAATCCAAACCCTGATGATGAAGCATCGTATTATTGGCCTGTTGGATTAAATGAAAACAAATTCTTGTGCATTGCTTGCAAGGTAAAAAAAAATATGAAACAGATACCAAAATGACAATAATTTTTTTAATAATAATATTTATTATAATAAAAAATCATTTATTTAAATAAGGATGGCGAAAGAATGCCACGTTATCCAAGGCAAAAGTTTCATGAATTTGATTGGCAAATCCCTCTTTTAAATCTTGATAAGCCAATTGGTAAAACTGAAGAAGTGTAAGTTTAAAATATGAGAACTTTAAAGTGTTAATCTTTTCTATTTTTTTTTTGATATAATAACAATTTTTTATTGATTATATAGATATGCCCGTATGAATCTATTAATAAAATTTGAGTGTGATGAAATCAGGGCAAAGAAAAAGTCAATTGATATCAACAACAACAACTACTACAATGATAATAATGATGGTGACATGATAAATAAAATGATGTGCGAAATAAATGGAGAAAAATATTATAATGGAATTAAAGTACCTCCTTTAGGTGCAAGAATCATACCATTAGAAAGACAAATGGAGATCAGCAAAGAACTATCTGAAAAACACAATTATTATCAATATTATGATAATAGATCAGATTAATTAATCCAACTTATTAATAGTTTAATAATATTTAATTTAATTTAATTTAATAATAATAATAATAATAATAGTGTTAATTTAATGATTGAAAAAAATAGAATGTATATTATATCATCAAAAATGTCATTATCATGTCATGTCATGTACATTAACATTATATATAAATATATAGAATAGAGTTTTCTT